TGGTAAACAGTATTTCTGGTTCGCGCGCGCGGGGCGGCCCCTGGGGGTCCCTGGATCAGAAGTACCCCGAGAGGAGCCCGGGACACGCCCGAGACACGCCCGGGACACTCCCCCAGATCCTCCAGGATCGCCCCAAGAGGGCCCCAAGAGGCCCCCAACACAATCCAAGAGAGGTCCGAGACGCCCGAAGATCGCTCCACGGCGCCCAAGATGGCCTCCAGACGGCCCAAGAGGTCTCCAAGATGACCCAACAAGCCTCCAAGATGCCCCAGGAGGCCTCCAGGAGCACTCCCAAGAGGGCCCCAAGAGGCAAAAATCAATGCTTTATCTTAGGTTTTGGACAGATTTGGGCGTTTCAACCTTTTCGGTTCCCTGACGCCCCTAAACGGCTCAAGAGGCCTCCAAGATCCCCCCAAGAGGGCGTCCCCAGAGAGCCCGAAGAAGGCCATATCCTTGATGTCTAGCAGTTGTTTCAAATGTATTTCGATTTCTCGCGTTCTCGAGCTTCCAACGCTCGAAGACGGCCGAAGACGCCCCGAAGATCGTCCCAAGACCGCAGAAGAGGCCCCAGAAAGAGCCCCCAAACAGCCCCGGATAGCATGAAGACTGCCCAAGAGCAGCCCAAAACTGCCCAAGATAATCCCAGGAGAGGCACAAGATGGGCCCCATCGCGGGAGCGGGAGGCCCCAGGGCGCTCCAGGACGGCCGAGATGATTCCAACGTGGCCCAAGAGGAGCTCAAGACGGCAAAATACAGCCCAAAAGGTCTGCAAGAGGGCCCAAGAGAGCTCCGAGAGACGTCCCGAGAGAGCCCAAAGAGGCCCACACCATTGATTTGCATTGGTTTGCTTGATGTTTTACGCTTTCTCGCGTTCTCGAGCTTCCAATGCCCGAAGACGACCGCAGACGCCCCCAAGACCGCCCCGAGACCGCCAAGGAGGCACCCAAAAGAACGCCAAGACGGCCCCAGGGAACCCGAAAACAGTCCAGGAAGAGCCCCAGACGGCCCAAGAAAACCCCAGGACAGGCCCAAGCTGGGCCACAGAGCGGGAACGGAAGGCCCCAGAGCGCTCCAAGACGACCCAGATGGCCCGGGCCTTCCCCTTTCGTCCCTCCTTCCCTCCCGCCCCCTCCCCTTGCCTCCACTCCCTCCTCTCTCCTCTTCCTCCCCTCACCCCTCAGCTTTCGTGCTCCTCCCTCCTCTCTTGGGACGGCCCTGCCAGAGCGCCAGACAGGCCCCGCCAGAGCGAGCGGGGCATCGCTATACCCTATCATTTCACAAATTGTTTTCCCCCTCCCACCCCTCAAAGGCGGCCGCGGCAGAGCGAGAACGTTCTGACTACGCGCTTCTTTGCGTCGATGGCATGGCCCCGAGAACGCTGGAAATCGTCGTTGTGACCACACCCGGGCTTACAGCGGCACCCGTGTCTAATCTGCGACTAGAACCTAAGCGCGCGTAGCGCGCGCGTGGTTCTAGTTGTGTGTATATACATATATATGCACACACGGCGTAAGGTGGGGAGGACGAGATTGGAAGGGTGGGAGGGGGAGGGGGACGAGGGGGGAGGGGATGAGGAAAGAGAGGGGGAGGGTTGGGAGGAGGAGGGATCGCCATGTCCTCCTCCCCTTTCTCCTCCTCTCCATCCGTTCCCTAGATGACTCCTCTATGTCGCGCCCCCTGGCGTCTCTGTAGGACGTACGGAGCGTTCCGCCAACGAAAAGCATCAACTTTATGAAGTTGAAATTCGACAGTTGCAACCAGTACACGGGTGGAGTGGGGGCTCTCGCTAGTGTCTCCCACTTTTGTCTCTAAACCTTGCATCAGTTAGAGGGACGAAAGAACGCCACAAACTGGGGCTCCCGCCTTAGCCCCGCGAGCATCCGTCGCCGAAACTTCAACGTCAACAACTACGAAGATGGAAGAGGGCTGTTTTTCGAACGATGCTCTCGGGTTAGAGCCGCGCACATTCGTCTTTAACGCTTAAGGCGGCTCCTTTCACATAATTGGGCTCTCGCCTAGTCGTGCACATTCGATTCTAAAAAACTTGCAACCACTCCATGTCGTTCCTGACACGTTTCGTGGCCCCACAGGGAGCTCCACCGAATGTTCCAGTGGCAAGGTCCGCATGTGTACTCGGGTCCATTTTGGCACACCCCTCACACGTTTCGTGGCCCCATCGGGAGTTCCATCAAAAGCTCCAGTGGCAAGGTCCGCATGCGTACTCGAGTCCATTTCGGCACTCCCGTTACACGTGTCGTGGCCCCACAGGGAACTCCACCCCCTCTGATCACTCCCGACTCTTGACTGCGAGCAAGGCTGACGTGCCCTTGCCCTTCGGTTTGTGCCATCGCTACCGCCCGTCGAGGTGGCCCATCGGGCCCTCTGACAGCTATAATACCATGCATTTTATCGGTCGGTTGCTGTTGTACCGGTGGCCGAAGAAGCAGGTGAGGTTGCTCATCGGGCCCTCTGTTCATTTCCGACTTTTGACCACGAGCATGGCTCGCCAACATCAAGAAAGACGACGACGACTTGTGGCTGGACCTCTACGTCCCCCTCTCGCGCGCGACGCGCAGCGAGGACCTCCTGCTGATGCGCGCACCCCCCGTCGACTTCCTCCTGCGCGGGCCGCCCGCCGGCCTGCGCAAACAGCTCAAGAAATTCCTGACCCGCGCGAGGGCATGCAGGGAGATGGCAAGGGCCCTCGCTGCGAAGCTTGTTGTCGAGGAGCTCCTCCGCGCGGCGTAGCCCGATCCAGCCGAGCAAGCGTAGTTTGCGGCGCAGTCGCGCCGCCCCCGGCCTCGACCCCGCGTGCTTCGCCAGGGCCTTCCAGCTGAACGCAAGCTCGTCCAATGCCGGAGCCGCGGCGCAGGGGCGGTGTTGCGGGCTATGGCAGACGTCTCTGAGTGAGGACACGCAGACCGCGCTTGTGCTTTCGTCTGCGTCTGGTTTAACATGCGCAGCAAGCACCCGCGTAGCGCGCGGCGCGTCCTGCCAAATAGCTCGGGGCGCTGTTGCATCGCAGAACGCGGGGCGCCAGGGCGTCGCTTAGCGCGTGGCGCTGTCCTCGGCCCACTTCCCACGTTTTCGCCGGCTGCCTCTCGCCCGCGTCGCGCTCGGGCACTCGCGACGCGCAGCGCCTCGCGCTGTTCTCTTCTATAGCGCATGGCGCTTGTCTGTAACGCAATGTAGCACGGGGCGATGTTGCTCGCAGTAATCGGCCCTGCAGATATCATTCTTCCTCATTCCTGTGCCACCGTCCGCCTACTCCGCGGCGCGCTCGTCGCCATCTTTCATCGTGCGGATTGAGTCGCGAGCGCGCGCGCGTGAATGCAGAACATTGAGTTTGTTGTTGAAGTTTTTGTCGAAACGCCCCGAGGTACCTTCAAAAGTTCTTACGTGTTGAGTGGTCCCGTGCATCATTGCCTCGTTTTGAAAATGGGTTGGGTTCCTCGCCAGGCTAGTTTTTTTTAATGGGGTGCAGCATTGTCCCCGCAGCGTCGCGCACGTCCTGAAAGTTTGCAGCCGTTGCAAGGATGGAGGGCGGTTGCTTTTTAAAGGGGGTTCGCGTCTTCGCGCCGCACAAAATCAGGCTCAAAGGCTTGCAGCGAGAGGTGTGCCTAAGGGTGACATGATAGACGTACATAGTATACGCCCTCGTTTTGAAGAGACAGCGCCCCGCGTTTTCCTTTCCTCCTCAGCCCCTCCTCCCCCCCTCCCATCTCCGTGCCCAATTTCGGCACACACCTTGCACGCTTCGTGGTCCCACACGGAGCTGCACCGAAGGCACTAGCGGCAGGATCCGCACGGCGGCCCAGCACCAGATCCAGCATACCCTTCACACCTTTCGTGGCAACATAGGTAATGCTTGGGGCGCAATGCTTTTTTTGCGCAATGATTTTGCGTCGTGTTTTTGAGTAGTGCGTTTTGAATCGGGAATGGACGTAAGTCTGCGCGTGGAGATGGCGCGTAAGATTTCCGCGTAGTGTTTCTGCGTCGTGTTCCCGCGTCATGAATTTCCATGATCGGCTGCGACCACGAACCACGAACCCGGAACACGAACCCTGGGGACGCTTCCAAACACCTCGATCGGGCGATGGGCAATGGCAGCGCCAGAGATGTCCATGGTGGCGCTACTGCGCCAAGGGCTGGGTTGAGCTTCTCGGCGCTATGCCACGCCGCACTTCGACCTGCCAAGGGACGCGCAACGTAGTGTATTTGCGTAGCGTACTTGCGCAATGTATTTGCGTTGTGGATTTCTCGTCGCGAATGGACGTAGAAATTTCGCGTGGAATTGGCGCGTAGTGTTTCCGCGTAGTGGTCTTGCGTCGTGTTCCGCGTCATGTGTTTTCACGGTACGAGACCCAGAAAAACACGACGTAAAAAGCAATACGCTGAAAACCAACAGCCAGGCGCAAACACCGCGGTCGCCAGCGTCTCTCATCAGCGTCGCCCGAGTCCGCAAGGAACGGGCCGCTGAAGCGCTGCAGGAGCGCCCTGCGTCGGCACGCTCGAAGGCACTAGGTAAAAACACCACGCAGAAAGGGGACCACCACGCGCACACACTCTGGTCTCCCGCGTCTCTGGCGAGCGTCGCCCGAATCCGCAGGGGGCGGGCCGCTGAAGCGCCGCCGGAGCGCGCTGCGTCGGCACGCTGCTCAAAACCACGACGTACAAAAACACTACGCAGAGAAACGAAAACCACGCACAAACACGGCGGTCGCCCGCGTCTCTCGTCAGCGACGCCAAAATCCGCAAGGAGCGGGCCGCTGGAGCGCCGCGGGAGCGCCCTGCGTCGGTACGCTACTCGCAAACACCACGTACAAAAACACTGCGCAGAACAGGAAACGCCACGCGCAAGCACTACGGAGGCCCGCGTCTTTCGTCAGCTTCGCCTGAGTCCGCAAAGAGCGGGCCGCTGGAGCGCTGCGGGAACGCCCTGCGTCGGCACGCTACTCGAAACCACTACGTACAAAAAACTACACAGAACAAGAACGGCCACGCGCAAACACCACCGTCGCCCGAGTCTCTCGTGAGCGCCGCCCGAGACGGCAGGGAGCGGGCCGCTGAAGCGCCGCGGGAGCGCCCTGCGTCGACACGTTACTCGACAACGCACGTAAAACACACTGCGCGGAACAAAAAAACCCACGCGCAAACACTGCGGTGGCCCGCGTCTCTCGTCAGCGCCGTCTCCCCCGAGGCCTCGCGGCGACCTCCAAAAACGCCCCACAGATACCCCTTGGAGCTCCGCCCGACCGCCCACGCCTCCCACGTGGAGGTCTGAGGTCAGGTACGTCATCAGCTGCGTGCAGGTGCTTCTCCGTGCTGCCAGGGGAAGGAGCAACTGCACAGACAGAAACTTACGGAGCTCCGCGCGGAGTTTGTGGGCCTGCGCGGAGCTCCGGAAGTTTGTGCGGGCGATTTTGAAAACCCTGATCGCCAAAACGTTTTCATCTCTCGGGGGCGCATTTTTTACTTCCGCCGTCTTCCGCCGGCTTCCGCCGACGGAGGCGGCCTCGTTTTACTTCCGCCGCCCTTCCGCGGCGGAAGAGATGACAACTCCTTCGGTCATCGAAGGCAAGGCCTTTTTTTGGAACGCCTCATGTGTATGCAGTTGCGTGTTCCTTCTTCGAGGCGGACCTTCCACGGCCTCCCGAGGCGTCCGAGAGCGCCCCACGAGTCCAGATATCCCAGCGCCAGGGCTCCCGAGGCCCCTCCTGCGCATTCTCCCACCTCCTGCTGCTACTGCTGCTTCTCCGCCGCGTTCTCCTCTTCGTTTTGCTGCTTCTCCTCCTGCTTCTCCTCCTGCTGCTGCTGCTGATCCTCCTCCTACTCTTCCTCCTCCTCTTCTTCGTCTGGCTGCTTCTCCTCCTGCTTCTCCTCCTGCTGCTGCTTCTCCTCCTCCTCCTCCTCCTCCTGATTGTCTTCCTGCGTTTCCTCCTGCGTCTCCTTCTGCTTATCCTCCTCGTCCTCCGCCCCCACACGAAGAATAGTTGGGCACGTGTCAAAGAAAACACCCCGACCCCACCACAGGCGAGGCTCAATAGCTAGATGAAATGTTTGCTACTACCCAGACTGTTCTAGACTAAGGGAAAGCGCTGTCATCAGGTCCGATCGAATCCACTCGTCGTCGTCGTCCTCCTCCTCCTTCCACGCAAACAAAGAGCAACAACATACAAAGATGGACTGTCGGAGCTCCACGCGGATTTCCAGGATCGGCGCTGGACCAGCCCTCCTTGGCGCGCGGAGCGCGCCAGAGGCGACGCCGAAGTTGCCTTCAGGGGGCCGAGTGAAGATCCGAGGAATCCGCGCGTAGGTGCAACAACTTTTGTTTATGATGCTGTTGTTGTTTTCTTCGACGTCCTTCTCCTACTACTCCTCCTCCTCCTCCTCCTCCTCTTCCTCCTGCTGCTCCCTCTTGGCCACAGGCCTTCTTGATCATGGCCTCCTTGGCAGTTCGCTTCTGCTCCTTCAACGCATTCACCTCCCTCTGCTTGGCGTTCCGGCGCTCCGAAGCGGCCTTGCAGCAGGTCGTGGGTGCAAGGGGGGGAGAGATGCAATCGGGTCGGACGGAAAGGGGGGATAGTAAAGCGGACGTTAGCGAATCAGCTCACATAGCTACCTCTCCTGGAGCCTCCCGGTGCCGGAGGCGCCAATCTATCCAGGAAAGCGCCAGGCGGCGGGGCCGAAACCAGGGGGAGGTATGATGATGTGGTGGTCCGCGAGCAAATATCAATTGTGGCGGCTTCACACATTGATGACTCTTGTGGCAAGTTCCACATTGATTCCGGAAATGGCGGCTTCACCAATCAATTCCCTCAGAGGCAACCCTACGACTTGATTCATTCCGTTGCGTCTTGCAGTTTGATTCCTTTTGCGGCGGTTTATAAGTCAATTCCCTCGTGTGGCGGCCTCACAAACTGATTATGGTGTTGCCCTTTCATCCATGCCCCTCTTCCTTCTCCGCCGACTCCTTCTTTGCCCTTTCCATCCTGCCTCTCCTCCCGCGTGACTTTCCGAGTCTACTTTCCAAAATTCTGGTGTCCCTTTACAACGTTTCTTTTCTCCTCCTCCGTTCCTTGTCCTTCGCAGTTTTTGTTCATCTTCCTCGTGAGCTACACAATGACTTCTTGTGTGGCGGGTCACACATGTATTCCCCGTTGGTGGTGGCCTTGCGAAATGGATTATTCGGTGGCGGACTACAACACATGCCTTTAGTTGGGGATTGCAAACTGCGGCCTTGTGTTCCACATTATGTAGATACACATGGCTATATGGGGTACTGTTTCTCTTCTGCGGCGGATTACAGTTTGCTGATTTGCGTGGCGGAAACATGTTGCTCATACTTGTGGCGACTCGTGCTGAGGCTGTGACGGGTCACAACTGATTCCCGCTGACGCGAGTTACTGACAACTTCTGTTGCAGCTTACAGCATGATGCCTTTCTTGCCGATGTGTATATGGTTTCTTGCGAGAACGTTTGCCAATTCATTCCACTTGTATATGGTTACGAACTCCTGTGTTGCCCGTGACATGTTGATTCCTGTGGCAAGTACAGAACTGACTTGACGTTACCAACTACTCATGGCTCTTCCCGTGCCAGGTTGTGGGTTCATTCCTGTTGCGGCCACACGTTGACTGCGTTTGTAGCAGGTTGTAAATCGTGTTGGTTCCATCCGTGGCGGTTAAGGACTTGATTTTCCGTGGCGGCCGATTACAAGAATACTCCTTCTGCGGCAGATTGCAAGGAGGTTTCTTCTGTGGCAGATTCCACAAGAAGTCCTTTGTGTGGCGGATCGCAAGCGAACTCCTCTTGTGGCGGAGTAAAAGTTTTTTATCTTGTGTGGCGGATAACGAAAGGATCCCTTTCTTAATGGAGGGTTCGAAGGCGTTCCCTTCTGTGGCGGATCACAAAAAGACATCCCCTGTGGCGGATTGCAGATTGATTCTCCTTGCGATCATCCCTGGTCGTTTTTTGGAAGTTTTGCGAAACACGGCGTACGTGGGAGCGGGGGAGGGGAGGAGAAAAGAGAAAGGCCCACCACCCCGAGGTTCCAGCGAGGGAACCCACCCAGCTACCTCGGCGATCGAGGGGGCGGAGAGGGGCGCCTCCAAAAGCGGGGAGGGTGGCGGGCTTCGCTCCCTGTGGGCAGCCATGGCTGCCTCCGAGACGGCGGCCGACACAACCCGAGCGCGAGCAAGGTCTCGACTCGCGCGAAACGGGCCCGAATAGCACGGGTGCAGGCCCTGCGAGTTCGCCTGATATCAACCAGTCCCTTGTGCGTGGCTGGCTTGCACTAATCTACTTAATTGGCGACCGTAAACAGCCGCGGTGCGACCGCACCGAAGACAAACATAAAGAGAGTGGAGGTCCCAAAAGGTCAGCCTGTTGGGTGGGTCGAGAACCTGCCCCCCAACCTCCAGAGTGCCCCTGGCGGCAAGGAGCACGTCCCGAGGGAAACCGACGAGATCGAACTCGGGCGAAAACAATTCGGACTGCAAGACCTCGAGAAGGCCTCGCTTCTGAGCCGCAAGAACGAGCCTGAGACAAGTGAAAGCAGGCTCAAAACATTGGAAGTACTTGAAAGTATAACAATTACATGATACATGATGTTGCATGTTGGTTTGTTATGATTGTATCCCCGCGTTCACTATCAGGGACGGCCATAAAGGAAACACTTTGTAACCCGCCACAGAAGGAATCCTTCTGTATTCCACCACAGAATGAATACCTTTGGAACCCGTCATAGACAGAATCCTTGAGTAACCTGCCACCGAAGAGACCCTCTTTCCAATCCGCCACACAATACATCTTTTTGTATTCGGTCACGGGAAGAATCCTCTTGCAATTCACCACAACAAATCTTATGCAATCCGCAACCAGAGGCGTGATGTTGCACTCCGCGATGGCATGGATCAACGCGTAAGCCGCTACAAACAGGAACTCTTGCAATCGGCCACACAAGGAACTCATGTGTGACCTGCTACTGAATGGAATCCATTTGTTGTCACCCATAAGAGGGATCAACTGGTAGTCGAAATTCAACATCGTCTCCGACACAAAGTCGGCGGTCTAGAAGCTGCGACGAAGATTTCTTGTCTGACTGCAACATGATAGACGCACACATTTTCATAAGAGCGCGAACATCACATCGTACACAGACAAGCGCACACACACACACACACACACACACACTCACACACACTCACACACACACACGAAGTTGCCAAACTTACCCGGGGGGTTCTGGGGAAGTTCCTTCATTGGGGGTCCCGGGGGGAGGTCCTTGCGGGGGGTCCCATGGGGGGCGTTGGGGGCCTCGGGGTTGTGAGCCCCCCCCCCCAGGGGGTAGCACCTCTCCATGGGGAAGCTTTCCCTTTCGACTTCTTGCCTCCCAGACGCCTCAAGCTCACTTGCATAGCGGCTTGCTCCAAGAGGGCTCTGACACAGCCCACTATCGATACGACGGCCTCGGACCCCACCAAGACGCCCCAAGAGATCCCCAAGACGCACCCAAAGAGGGTGCAAGAGCCGAAACTCAAGCATGTTTCAAAATGTTTTTCTATGTGTGTCACGTCCTCGTTGTTTCTGGCTTCCGACGCTCAGCGACGGCCCAGAAAACGTAACAAATCGCACCAAGATCCTAACAAGTTGTCGAAAGCGCACCAACACAATCCAAGACAGCCTCAAGACGGCCCAGGGGGCACCCAAAACGGCCGAAGAAGGCCCCAACTGGGCCCAAAGAACCCCCCGAGAGAAAAAGCAGCAACGGCCATTTCTAATTCCGCACCAAGATGCCTAAAGAGGCGCCCAGAAAACCCAAAAGATGCCCCGAGGAGGCCCAAACGATCCCCACGAGCGCTACCAAGCGAACCACCAGAGGGCCACAACAATAATTACCCTGACGTTTCTAAATGTCTTTCGCCGTCGTCGCCGTCGTCGTCGTCGTCGTTGTCGTCGCCTCCTTCAGGGTCGGCGGCACGGGCAGTAAGGCCTTCGCAATGAAGGCTCTGGAGCTGCACGGCATCTGGGGCACGTCACGTCCACGCCTACGTTGGATACCGTTTCTTTGCGCGTGTTTGTCCATGTCTCCCCTGCGACAGTGGCAACCAGTAGCTCACTGAGGCGATGTCCCTGCGCAAGCAGACAAGCAAGAAGCCGACGGCGCATCCAGGCCTCGGGAGAGGCAGGTGCGGGAAGGGCAGACGGAGGAGGGAGGCGAAGGGGCAGAGCGAGGGAGATTATCGTAGTCAGCCTCAGTGGCTACAGTATCCATGATAGGTGCATCCCGCTCCTCGGGAACAGGGTCCAATCAAATCTGCAGGCGGTCGGGATCGTTCCCTGTGATACTCCGCGCGCGGGTGTACATTTGGCTGGTCCATTGCAAACGCGATCTCCCTGAGTCTTTCAAGGGACGCCTTCCCCGCCGCATTAAAGAGTGCGCCTTGGCTGCCAACGGTTTGACGGCCACCGCCCTTGGGGCGCGCTTACCGGCGGCGGTGGCTAAGTCTGGCGTCCTCCCGCAGGGCGCCCGGCTGGCGGCGCTGGCTGCCGCGGCTAGCGCGCCCTCGCCGTCCCCCGCGCTGCCTGCGCCCGCGATTCCCCAGGCGCACAGGGTCGCTGCCGGGCTTGGACGGACGGGGCTTGCGCGCACGCGACGGACCCGCTCCTGGAGAGCGCCGGCTGGGGCCTGCGGCTGGAGCGGCCCGGGGCGCCCGTGGCGGCGCATTGCGGGCCAGCCGATGGCGCGCAGACGGCGCAGCGTGCAGAAATGACCGCGGCTCTGAGCGCCGTGAGCTTGGCAGGCGCACCCGTGGAGGTCATCACGGACTCGCAGTATGTCCAGAACGGCATGGTGGCCCTCCGCGGCGGTGCCTCGCCGCGCGATTGGACGCACGCTGATTTGTGGTCGTTCCTGGAGCCCTACTGCCAGACAGGCTTAGCTGTCGCGCGCTGGGTCAAGGGCCACCTCGACGCGGCGGCGGCGGCGGCGGCGGTGGGGTCTCGGAAGAGGATCCGCCTGGCAGGGGAGGCGGCCGAGGCCCGCCTGCCCGCGACGGACCTGCTGCATGCGCGCGCGGTCCAGCTGCACGCGCTGAAGGTGCTGTAGGAAATGCTCGCCGAGGTGGAGCTGGCGGCCCTGAAGGCCAACCACGGCAGCGACGGCCGCGGCGCCCCCCGGGTGCAGCGGCGCTGGACGGCGCCGCGCCTCCGCCAACGATCGGGGAGGCGGAATCCCCGGGCGGCGGATGGCGGCCGTGGCCGCCACTGTGGCCGCCGCAGCGGAGCCCTGCGGCCAGGGCCGCGCCGCGGCTCCCGCGCTGTGGCAGGGAGGGGCCGCAGAGACGCAGGCGCTGTTCGCCGGTGGCGCGTGGCGCGCGCACGTGGCCTCGCAGGGGCCGAGCTGGGTCGCCTGCCTGCGCTGCGCCTGCTGAGCCCTGCGGTGGGGCCGCCTCGCGAGCCGCCCATGTGGCGGGCGCGTCCCATTCCTCTCGGCGCGGGCAGCCTCGCTCTTGCTGCTCCCGGCGGCGCGCGCAGGGGCGCCGACGCCGAGTGGCGGGTCGCTCTGCGTGAGCGCCTTGCCGAACGGCCTGGGGCTCCCGATTAATTTGCGAATTTGCGTCGTCGCGCTCGGGCGCGCGCCCCCTCGTCCCCATCCCCCTTCCCCCGCCCTCCACCTCCCTTCCCTCCTCCCCTCCGTGCCACAGGGTTTCCTCTACGCTTGTAAAAAAGTGCGCCTGGACCTGGCTACAACACCATCGTATTCGACAGTGATTGCGAAGGCGTCTTTGCTAAATCCCACCAGCCCATTGGGCGACATGTAATTTAACGGGGGTCTCTCAACCCCTCTTCCCGTCGGGGAGGAGATCCCTCCCCCTCCCCTCCCTGGGGTGTTTTGGGAGGGGGTCGCGACGAGGTAGAGCGTCCTTGTTCGGCCCGTGGGAGGACCATTGTTGGCCACCCCTCACGAGGATCGTGTCCCCCGAGGGGGGGACGGATAGAAAAGATTCCTCTTTGGACTTTGGATCGATAGCCTCCAAGATGGCCCCAAGAGGGCCTCCAGGGTTCCCAAGAGAACCCCAAAAGGGCCCAAAGAGCGCACCAAGAAGCCCCAAGAGGCCTCCAAGAGGCACCCGAGAAGCCCCCAAGAGGCCCCCGAGCGGCCTCAGAGAGCCCAAGATGACCTCCAAGATTGCTCAGAAAGTCCAAGCTGGCTCCCAAGATGCTCCAAACTGCCCCAAAGAGCGCTCCAAGATGGCTCGAGATGGCCACGGAGCCTCCCAATCCTCTCTCGCTGTTTGACTACGTGTGCCTCTTCCTCTCTCCCCCTTGTCAGCTCTCATGGGCATCGTTTCTGGATGGGCTGGTGGGGATACTTTTTTGCTCGCGAACGACGCGGGCAGCCGCGCGCCGTCTACAGAGTCGTGAAAGTGCAGGCCAAGCGTAGGCAGCACGCGGAAAAAGGGGGCCACAACGGTGGCGAAAACAACGCGGCGAAAGCGAAAAGCAAGAAATACACGAGGGTAAAACAGACGAAACAAAGCGAGAAAGACGGGAAACAAGGACGAGACAAAAGAGAAAACAAGCCGCGGCTCACGTTCAAACCGGGTGGGAGACGACCCTCTCTTGCGGCTGGTGGGGGCACGCGAAGCATCAATAATTTCCCAACAATTTGAGCTGCCGCCCTAACAGTATAATTGACAATGGTGGCGCTTGTGCTTCATGCTGGACGCTCGCATTGCTAATGAAGTATACGAATGCTGGCTGCACTGCCAAGAGGCTGCGAAGGCACTTGGCCTGAAATCCACCCAGCGTGCCGCAATCTGCTTGCAGCCAAGCGCAACATTCAAATCCAGGCAGGAGGCAGGCGAGGAGGGAGGAGAGGAGGCAGGAAAGGAGGGAACACCTCGAACACGACGACCACCGCCACCACAACGACGACGACGACGACGACGACGACGACCGCGACCACGACCACGACCACGACGACGACTCCTTCTTTTCTTCTTCTCCCGTGCATCGAAGGTGGCTCCAAGCCCAGCACGATTCGAACGATGCCAAAGTGCGAGGGCAGGCCGAGGTTCCAACTCGACCTAGGCGTGCTGCGGCCAGCCGGCGGGGAGCCGGCGGAGCAAAGCAGCGAAGCCGAGCGGGGAGCCCAACACGGCCAAGGCCATGGGCGACCGCAGGCACAGATCAAACAGGCAAGGATCCACGGATCCCTGGCTGTCGAACGCGATGGTCAGGAAGAAACTCATCCCAATGCCCAGTGGCGCCCTAACATGCCACGCAAGCGCGCGATGACTGTAAATGGAAAGCGAAGGCTACCCGTTCATTAGTTAGAGTGGCGCTGTCAACCCCCAACACCCCAGCAAGGATCCACAATATACTTTTCAGGCAAAAGTACCAGTCTGTCGAAAGGAATTGGTTGTACCTGAGATGCGTCCACGAGACTTGCCGCCTTCCAATGGAGGGCCCTGTGCCTGGAGGAGGTCCGAGAATATGCCAACGAACTAGAACGGTTAAGGGACAGAAAGCATGTGGATTGGTCCAGGCCATGAGTTTCCAAACTGCTTCACACAAGATTGGGGCATATTCTGAAAAAGTTCACACATCGAGAGTTGCAGCCTCGGGAAGATAAACAGATCTAGAGATTGACGAAAATGCTCACTGCAGGCCCGCCTTCTGCCGCTGTCGTTGCACGGTTTCCCCTCGGCCACCGTGTTTGGCGCAGACGGCGGACTCTAGCTCCGTCCACATTCGAGCTGTCAGTCGCGATCGAAGTACTAGCTCCGCAATCGCCTCTCTTTCCCGATGTGACTCGGCCACCAAAACATTGCAGTCGGCGAAAATGGTCTCGAACTCCTTCATAAGAGGGGGGGCCTTGCCGTCGTGAAGCGGTAATTCCAGGAGACGGCTGACCCGATCGCGAAAGTCAAAACAGCGTACGTAACCATTGTGCTCCCAGGTTCAACATACTGTGATATCCTGCGCCAGCAGCTCTTCGATTGCCGCCTCGGCCCCATGGATGAACATAGGCAAACCTGTCCACGTTCTGTCAAATACATACCAGGGACAACGCGCCTGAAATAGCTCTTCCCTGCCACACAGAAATCACCCGCTCCAGGGCATCGTTATCAGACAGGCACCCCGATTGACCCCTTTGACCCTCCAGTGATAACCAATCTACGGGCTTGAAGTGGATGCGATAGTACTCGCCGAAGGCCCCCCCGTCGGTTGGGTCCATATTTGCGGTGTCCATCGCGCTCCCGGGAAGCGCCTTCGACGTGTGGGTGGTAGAGGAAGGGATGGTGGTCGAACTCTGGCCCTCTCCTTCCCGAGGCAACCTCTTGAACGGCAACCACGTTCCAACTGATGGAAGGGCTGTCCATTGCCCAGGCGGGCCAGCGAGGCAAGCACCGGCCGGGGGTGGATGTTACACCGAACGGTTTGTTCTAGAATAGTGATGCGCTCGTTGTGTTTCCGTTCCTGCTCTCCAATGCCAGTCACAGATCGCATGGCGCCTTCTGGTGAACACATTGCACTTGGAAAGAGTGTTTAAATAACATGCTAATCGTGTTTTCTCTGCTCGCGTGCAAACCCAGAGTCGATGCCTAGAGCTACCAAGGGCGACGACGACAACGACGGCCACAACGACGAGCATGACGACGATCACGGAGACGGCGACGACGATGATGACGATGACGACCACCACCACCACGACGACCACACTGACGACGACGACAACGACGACGGGGACCACGAAAACGACGACGACGACCACCATGATCACCACGCCGACCACGACGACGACGACGACGACGACGGCGGCGACGATGACGACGACGACGACGACGACGACGACGACGACGACGACGACGACGACGACGACGACGACCACAGCGGCGGCGACGGCGACGGTTGCGGCGGCGGCGATGAGCCGCCCGCCTTGCGGCGATGCTCGGCCTCCCTGCGGAGCTCCTTCATGGCCAGGGTCGCCTGGGCGGGCGGACGGGGGGAAGGAGGCGGGAAGGAGGGGCGCGAGGGACGGCAGCAATGCAAGGACGAGGCGCAAGCGAGAGGGAGGGAGGGAGGGATAGGGGAACGAACAATGACATAAATATAAGAACTCAAAGGTCCGCGCAGATTTCTCGGATCGGCGCTGGACTCCCTTCCCTGGCGCGCGGAGCGCGCCAAGGGTGGCGCCCGAGACGCCGCCAGAGGGGGTCCAGCGCTGATGCGGGATATCCGCAGGAACCTCCGAGCTTTAATGTTTATGTCATAGTTCGTTCCCCCAAGGGAGGAGGTGGACAATTTTCTGAACTAGGGCCAGTGCCCGTGGATCCACCCATGGAGGCACTCGACCTCAAGGTCGAAAACATCGCAAGTGAGGTCCGCGAGATTGGGGTGCCGTCCATTCTGTAGTACACGGGTCACCGACGCCGCTGACCTGTCCAGCGCCTCCTTGGACACTGGGGCACATTCGGCAAGCAACGGAGGTGGGGAGGCGGAGCGAGGCAGGGAGGAGGGAAACCATCTCGGCGGCCCGCGTGCTTCGCGTTCCCAGGGGAAAATGCCAGCACTGCAACAGGCTGGGCCGAGGTGGCGGAGCGAACGGCATTCGACGCGATGGCAGAGTCCAAGAGTGCTGAATGCCAGAATGGCCTGCCCTTTAGAGAAGCAGGTCGGAGAAGGGAAGAGTGCGAGGCATCAGAAAACAACTCAATGATAGCTTGCGTAGAAGAACAACAGATACATAAACATGAACTGTTGGCGCTCCGCGCGGATTTCCTGGATCTGCGCTGGACCACCCTCCCTGGCGCGCAAGTCGCGCCAGGAGCGGCGCCGGAGGCGCCGCTGGGGGGGTGCCCGGCGCAGACTGGAGAAACCCGCGCGCAACGCCAACCGTTTGTGTTGATGGCGTCTTCTCTTCTGCGATCGCAGAGGGAGCTGCAGTCGCCGTGCTACCGCAGGGACCGCTGGATGAGCAGCGAAGGAGCCTCCCTGGCCACGGCGGGCCTCGGCCCCGAAGGGGCTCCCCGACCTGGAGCGGGAGAGCGGCCCGGAGGCCTGAGACCCCACTGCGAGCCCACAGCAGTCCCTTCCCGGCGGCCTGCGCGTCGGCAGGAGGAGGGGAGGAAAGGAGGAGGAGCGCGAGGATGAGAACGTCAGCTCGTGGAGCGGAAGGAAGGGAGGAGGAGGGGGAGGGGGAGGGGGAGGAGGAGGAGGAGGAGGAGGAGGAGGAGGAGGAGGAGGAGGAGGAGGAGAAGGAGGAACGAGGAAAAAAAAAGGGAGGAGGAGGATCGCATCAGACGCCTATCGGGGCAGTAGCCCTGCCTCGAGACTTGACAAAGCCCTAGGACCGACAATTCTGCCGCGTGTTCGGGCCACAAGGCCCGCCCTCTGCCCACAGGGTTTCGGAACCCCAGACATCCCTAGCGCGAGCTGCCCTGAGAACCAACAAGGCCCAGCAGCCGACCCAGCGAGAATCTCCCAGGACCCCGGACTCCGAAAACTGCCGAGGGCGTCTCGCTCACTCCTGGCTCGCTTCGGCGGTCGAGGATTCGGAGGCGGAGGAAGAGGGGGAGGCTCAAAGGAAGGAGGGGCCTGAAAGACCAGGCACAAGAGGCGGGCGCGCCTCAAGCCTGGTCGAACCACTCGATCTGACCGAAATCGCGGGCCTGGTGGTTGAAAAAGTGCACGGGTCCAACGGTGTTCTGATCGAAGTCGAAGCCGTGGGAGCAACCGAAAAAATAGTCACACTCTGACAAGTAGACGCAATCGGAATCGAAGTCAGTGCACCAATTGAGCAACTCGACGTTGCTGGTCGCACACATGATGTTGGGAGCTCCCGTACGTCACCCGCCGACGTCGCATCACAACTGTGCATGCTCAGCTTCTGATAGTCACTGTCTAGACGTCCATCTCCTCGCCCGCAAGGAAGGTCTGCAGTACCCGCTCCAAATGGTTCATGGGCGCGACTCCGATCTTCAGCACCCCCCGAGCTGCTCGCAGCGGGCGACCATCGTGTGCAGCGATTCTTGTTGAGACATCAGCAGCTTGAACTCCTGCTCCTTGTACGCTGGGGCCACTTTCACGAAAAGGAATTACATCGGCACGTCCTTCATCGACAATTTGGGCACCTCTTCCTTCCACACCACGAGCCTTCGCGCGTTAGCCGCGCAAGCGGACTCTCCTGCTTCCAAGCACCCATCCGTCAGCCAGCCCGACGAGGACCGCGATCGGGATAGTTCCCATGGCCAGGATCTCGCCCTCCTCCACGCGGGCGCGAAGGTCTTGGGCCTTCTCGGCCCAGGCCTTGACCCTCGCCCGCGAGCACTGCACACGAAGTGCGATCTCGGGCATGGTCACGGTGACCATCGATCTGGCTTTTTTGCTGGCGGGTCCGCATGCATACATGTAGGATCAACTGCATCATGACTGGGGGCGATTTTCTGGATCTGTGGGCAGCTGAACTAGGCTTAAGTCGGGCGTGTCCCCCTACAGGGGGATTTTCGACGAAAAATAAAAAATACCCCAGAATATTCCCAAATGGGAAAAAATACTACCAAAAAAAATCCCCCAACTATTTTTGGACTATTTTTGAATATTCCCCCTGTAGAGGGACAGGCTCGACTCAAAACTAGGCTGTCGATCTCGGACTGATCGACTGTGCGGCTGCTCTTCTTGGTCTGGGCGCCTCGCTTGGGCCGGCCGCCTTGGCCGCCCTCCTCGCGCCGCCTGCCCGCCGAGGCCGCGGGAGCGGACGGCACTGCTGGGACCGCCAGGGACATACCACACAAACTCAGGCACTGGAACAGGGGTGTGTGGGTGTGTGTGTGACTACATGCCACTGCAACATCTCGAAGTTTTCAAAGTGCTTCAGACAAGAGGAGCAGGAGGAGGAGGTGGAGGAGGAGGAGGATTGAGGAGGAGGAGGAGGAGGAGGAGGAGGAGGAGGAAGCGGCCATGGGGCGGGAGGAGCGGGCCATGGCTGCAGAGCCGGCGAAGTGGGCCCGCGGGCCGCGGGCGGGAGCTGCTGTGCGCTTTTGGCGTGGCGCCCCCGTCGGGGCGCTCGCTCGTCAGCCAGCGCGTGCACCCATCGAGAAGCAGGAGGATCGGATAGGATCAATCGCGAAGCGAGGTCATGACCGAAATGCACCAGCTCGGCTCGGCTGAGATTAAGACTATCTATATTTTGGGAAATTACCGTCGTACACCCGGGTCAAATAGCTCCGCCTCGTGGACGTGAGCTGGACTCTACGCACGGGGTCCATATTCGAAGAGGAAAGGACACTTGCTGGGGATACCTGCGGCGAGGCGGGAAGGAGGGAGGCGGGAGGAGGAGAAGCGGGAGCAGGAAACACGCGAGGAACAGCGGAGGAAGAACCACTATCAGATAGGAGCTCGAGGGCCATAGCGGTACAGAGGCTGCGGGTGAGGAGGGAGGTTGGTGCGTATGGGGGAAGGCGGAGAGGGAGAAGAGAAGGAACTTGACAGGGAGAAGAAGAGGCTGGCGAAGCGGTGGGGCGATGGGGAGAGGATAAGGAGGAGGGAGGAGGGATGGGCAGCAGCAGGAGGGGCTGGACCAGCAACAGTTGAAGGGAGGTGGACGCGGAAGAGGGGCTGGAGGAGGAAGAAGCAGAGCACCAGAGCGAGAGAGGCGAGCGGAGAAGGGAGAGAGAGAGAGAGAGAGAGGAAGGAGGCGAGAGAAGGAGGAGGGATGGGGGAGGGGGCACCCGTGCGAGCGGAACACGAACTCGGGTGAGCTGGCCCGAAGGCGCTTCACGGTGCACCCACGGCCCAAGCGGAAGCCAAAACTAAGGGATGAGGGCCGAGGGAAGGAGGAGTCGCGAGTGGCAGCAGCATCGGACAGAGGGCGAGGGCGAGCGGGTGGAGCAGTGGCTCTTTGCCTCGGGTCGGCGGCCTGGGGGCTAAACATTACGAAGGACCTCCGCCTCGAGGATCCCACCTCGTTGGAGGTCAGGGCCTGGCGGTCGAACATCGGCCCTCCAGGCCTGTGCAGGAGTGCGTTCTGGCCAGAGCTTCACAAACGGATACACGACACGTGACTGCGATAGTGCTTCCTGCAACACCAAAACGCACAAAAGTGCCCGAGAACCTCGATCCTCGAACCTCGGTCTGGCAACCCGCGCTGCTGTTTCCGGCTGGTCATGAGCACAGGCGCGCAAGAGTCGGCCCCCCGCCCGGCCCATGCCAGGGACAGGGAGCTCCACAATTCGCAGGCCCGACGGGCCACGGCGCGGCGGATGATGAGGAGGAGGACACCAGCGTTGAAGAGGGGGAGGAGGCGGAGCGAGCCGCCGCTCCATCCCATCCCCGCACTGTCCGGCGGAGGACCATGCTCTAGGTTCTTCTTATCCCCTCTAGTATTAGTCGGAGGTTGGAGGGTGAGATCGAAGTGGAACGGAGAGCCCCCCTACCGGGAAATCGATTTCAGTTTCGTGTACGTGCGTGCCGTGCGTGCGGGCGAGGCGAGGCTGCGTGGGCGGGGGAGAGGAAAGTCTCCTGTGGCTGAGGCGCGGCTGGACCAAATGTTTGGCGACCCGGCGTTCGGGGCCGCGCGGTGTCCCGCCCCTGTCCCGCGGTGTCCCGTCGGTGTCCCGTCGGTGTCCTGCAGTGTACCGTCGGCGTGTCCCGGCGCTAACGCGTGTCGCTTATTTCATAATTCATGTTTTTCGGCGCCTGCGGCGGGCTTTCTTATCCAATCCATCTTGTCCAATCCAATCCATCTTGTCCAATCCAATCCATCTTATCTTATCCAACCCATCTTGTTCCATCTTATCGTATCCCACCCAATCCAATCCACCCAACCCAATCTATCAATTCATTTGTTTCTGAGCCTGCGGCGGGCCAATCCAATCCATCTTATCTTATCCAATCCATCTCTTCCAATCCAATCCATCTTATCTTATCCAATCCATCTCTTCCGCAGAGAGATGAGATCAAGGTGACAGGCTGGAGGTCAGTCAGGGTGG